TGTTGTTGTTGTTGTCATTATTATTATTATTATTATTATTATTATTATTATTATTATTTATTATTATTGTTGTTGTGTTGTTGTAACTGTTGCTGTGGTGGTTTAGAGTGATTTGAAAGCGACAAAGAAACGAAAAATAACAGTCTTATGTGAGTCGATATAATCATGTGTCAAATTGGGAGCCTCTTAGGCTGTCAGTGTCTCTTCCCTCTGGCGTTATGAGCCATTTCTTTATTGGGTTTTGTTGTTGTTGTTGTTTGGACAGTTTTGTTTGTTTGTTAGTTCTTGAATCTTTGGAATTTGTGTATGTTTTGGTCGTCAGTTTCTGTGCATTTTGTGTGTGTGTGAGTGTATGATCCCTTTCCTGTTTGAGTTAACGCCTAATTTCACCCCCACGGTGTGTGATTCACGGTTAGAAAAGGATTGCTTTGGCGTGTTTGGACCCCTCATTCTACGTACATAAACTCACGTGCGCACGCATGCACACTCGCACAGACGCACGCGAGTGCATACAAACATGAACGCATGCACACACACATGCACGCACGCGCACACACACAAACACACACACACACACACACACACACACACACACACACATGCACACACACGTTCACACATACATACTGTTTCTCTCTCGATCACCACCCCACCCCCTTTCCACGCACGCACACACACACACACACACACACACACACACACATACACACAAACACACAAACACACACACACAAACAAACACATGTACACACACGTATGAGGGCTTGAGCTGCTGAGGAAAACATTCATGGGGAAGGGTTCGGGAATCATCTCCAATCTTCCTGACTGAGCATGTCTTTGGGAGTCTGTGTTCCCCAAGTAAATAATTCTGTACATGGTACACAGTATCTCAAGATCAAAACTGACAGCTCTCTCAAAATGGATGGGAAAAAGAGCTTTTATTTATTTGTGAACCAGCGTGGTTAAATCAGGCTCTCGTCAAAATAATCAAAGTGAAGAAACTTGCATTTTTCCGCAGGTTTGTGAATTTTTATCAAATTTTTTGTTGTTGAGCTCAAAACCTTTCATGCCCATTAAAGAACTCATTTCTGCGTGGATTTTTCTGAAAAACGTCGATTAAAGGCACTAAAAATGTACATTTTCAGTTACCACGGACTCTTAAGCTAAGGAAATAACTAATCTTTGCCGGCCATTTCTCACTAATTTTACCTCTAAAAACAGATGACCCCCACCCCCTTCATTCGGATATATCTCGACTTGTATTCAAGATAAATGGATATTTTTTTTCCATTCAAATAAAGACAAGTGAGCAAGCTTTAAGATGATACCAATACCTCTACATGCCCAAAAATTGACGAGAGCCTGATTCCACCACGCTGCCTCACATTTTTGTTCTACGCATGCATAGACGCACAGAGACACATTACAGGTTGCTTTACGTAAACCGTTTTAGTGCAACAAGAGGGAATACTTTTATTCGAGATTAACGGGTTGCCAGATCCGAAAAAAATCTCCGTTTTGAACACGGAAATAGGAAAAAATAGGAAAGAAAAAAGATCAAAGATGCATTTTGAAAAAGCAGTCGAAAACAAAATACAAAATATTATATAACATACCAAAACGAAAGCCAGCAGTATACATTGCAGACAACCGTGGCTTATCTTATCCCACTCTGTATCACCATCGCTCATCAGGTCTCAACTTCTTTGCTTTCGTTTCGGGATGTGTCAAAATTGCCACCACGACATTTTTCGGGAAAACCCGCTCGGAGCAGCTGGTAAACTTCGAAGAACATTGCAGCCGATACTCTCGTCTGCCCAGCGACCTGGAGGAGGAGGCGGCTCTCAGGGCTTCCAAACAGCAGCATCGCCATGGGGGCTTTCAAAGGTTCTCCGGGTCTGACCCCTTGAGGTTACCGCCGGCAGAGGTCAAGGCCAGGCAAAAGTCCGCGACTGATTGGCCCTACCTTCTGGAGGAGAGCTACGAAGACAGGTCGTTCCCCCAGCCGCACCGACAGCACAAAAACATCTTCCATCTTTTGCAAAGTGTTCGCAAGTGAACGCAGAGCGTCCTGGGCTGTTTTTGAGTTTTATTAGATCTATTTTCTTTTGTTTCGTTTTATTCTTTTTTTTTTCTTCTTACTTGATTAACGATTTCAATTTCGTGGTGATGCCGTTTCCGGTTTTGCTCTGCTGATGAAATTAATTGAGGGATTTGGTGGCACTAATTAATTAGCAATTTTCAGAATTCTTTGCAGCACATTTTAAAAGCTACTACTAGCTTCACACATTTCATATAATAAGCTGGTTGATTTCCACGTTTTGAATTTCTTTTTTTTTCATGTAGAATATTTCGTTTGCTTATTTATGCTCCTTGGTTCAACCTTCGTGTTCTGTTTTCTTTTATCATACGTTTTTGAAGGTTTTATTCTTCTCCTCTTTGACTTATGTTAATTACGTTCAACGGAGCATGGATGCTCTAGCAAAGTCTCGTTATGATTTTGGTGCTAGATTCAAAGAAAAAACCCACTGTAGGGGCCAACTGCACGTCAATTCCATGTACTTCCACCGCTAACCCGTGACCAGTTCTGACTTGTGCACCAGCACCCATGTATGAATGTTTTATATAATTATAGCCTTTGTGCCGGTCATCTATTATCGCATGAAGACTTGAATACGGTCCCAC